AGGCTGGCTGGTTGCCCTTCAGCCAGGCTCTCCCCTTTGATCAGTGTTTCAGTCACTTGGTGTGGTGCCTGTAGCTGTAGGTGGAAAGGAGAGGAAGAGCATGGCAAATTCTCTTCCTTTTATCATGTCCTTTCTTCCCTCTTGGCTTTACCCCCCCATCTCCTGCACCCTCATTCAGAGTCAGGTTAGCATTACCTCATCGCAGTTCCAAACTGACTAAAGGAAGGGGGGTGACTCACTCGAGAGTCCAACAGATCCTTTGTTGTTGCCTAGGCCAGAGTCCTTTGTTTCTGTGAGGCTGGGCTGGGTTTGTCCCATACGTGCCCTGATGAGCTGTGAACTGCCTCTCTGCTTCTGGAGAGTTTTTGCCTGGACTTGCCTTAAGCCATGAGGACGCATTTTCAGCCTCATAACTATATACATTAAATTACAACCTGCAACATTACTATAACAACGATTACTATAACAACAATGCTCAGTACACAATGAGCCTTCTGAAGACACCCAACATGACAAACTTTGCATTAGATACCACACAATCATATTATAAGGATGAACATGGGGATGCTGGGTGTTCCTCTGAGGTACAGAACATCACAATGGGAAGGGCACTTCTCTTTTTTGCAGACTCTTTACAGCTGTCTCCAATGTTTTATTTTGTTCCTGTGCTTGCTTTCTCTGAACTGCTTGCTGCCCTGTTACGCGAACAGGAGCATTCCAGGGCTCTGTTACTTCTCTTGCTTCTTTTAACTCTTTCTTTGTTTCTGTTACTTGCTCCACCAATTTTGTGGCATGTCGTCTTAACCATTTAACAGCCATGGCCATAGTTTGCAATATTCTACATTTTTTACTCTTATTTTTCAAGGCTACAGTCTCTGCCCTACCCTTACAGATTCCATTCCAGATTTCTTCCCCACTATATTTTTTAAATTCATATGGACCTCTTTTGCTAGCAATCCAGGGTGGGATTAAGGGGATTCCCTAGCATGTAGCTTTCTGCCATGTTAGATCGTGATTCCTACAGAGGACAGCTTGCTTACTTACCAGATCAGCAGTCGGGGCAGTATTGTCAGATGTTTGGCTGCATGTGTGTGTTTTCTCTCCATGCTGCACTGGCTCTGGCCAGATAACTTGTACAGCAGGCTCCAATCAAACTATCCAGTAACCACAGACCCATTTAGTAGCAAAGGCACTTGGTCAGGTTTATTGCTGACAAAGCATGGTGCTAATGCCCCGGCTCAATGGTTACAGGTACACTTACATATGTATGCCTGTGATAGAGGACCAGCTCAGTCAGTGGCAGGACTTTTCCACTGCCCCCTAGGCCAGGCAAAGGGTTAAGGCTAGGTATCCCAACATTTATAGACTGAGACAAACAATCTGGGATAAACAACTTACGTACCACCTTACGTGTTTCATGACACATTTGTTACCTCCCCTTGTACTTTTCTCCTGATTTTTTTCAGACAAAATATCACTATTCAGCACTTTTGTCAAGCCATTTTATCATGTGCTAGGTTGGGGTGTTCTTGTGCTGGCCTGCTGGAATGTGTTTACACATTGTGTGCTTTAGCAATGCTAGCAATATTGGTGCTGATTTCATGTACCAGACACTGACTTGCAGGCAAGCATCTGCTTTTGACCGGGCCTGACTGTTGCTCATAGCATAATTTTTGCTGACTTTGGTTCAGGCCTCAGGCTTTGCACCAGGCCAATGCTTCAAGCTCTCTCTTTCTACTACTACAACAACCGACTGATTAGCTATGTTAAAATGAATCCGTAACAATGAAGGCCACAGTGTGTATTTCAAACAAACAAACACACACAGAACTAGAAATCCAATTAACTAATGGTGTGATTTTCCTCCCCCCCCCCCCCAAAAGCACCTTGAATGTCAATAGGACTTGTGCACATAAATGGTTTAGCCTTTGTCTACATTAGGAAGATTTTTCCCATAGAGCTCTACCAGCAAAACACTTCTAGTATGAACACATCTACACTGGCAAAACTGCACTTCGAGAGAGAGATATTCCTGTGGGTGCTCCACCTCAGGTCAAGGTGCATCCCAGCTCCTTTGATCGGCGATTTCTACAGCAGCACCCCTACGGGCCGTGCACGCGCTGTGCCTGCCTCACAAGCTGTCAGTGTTTGAATAGCGTGTGCAAGGCCCGGGCTCCCCAGTTCCTTCTCTACCATCCCTGGTTAGAGACGGAGTTCAGCAGTCCTCTCAGATTTACTCAGAGATAGTTCTGTTTCTCAGTTTAATTTAGATAGTTTAATCATAGAGTTACTATTTAAGAAAAATAGTTTAGTTTTTAGAGCAGAACCCAGCCATGATAACCCCCACTAGCAAGAGACTGGACCGCAAATATTTTGTCCCGCCAAAGGGTTTGGAGTTTCTATTTACTCACCCATCACCCAATTCACTAGTTGTCAAGGCGGACAACCAGAAAAATAAGCACCAGCCTTTCCAATTTATCCCATCTGACAAGGAGAACAAGAGACTGGACTCCTTTGGGCGCAAAGTGTATTCATCTTCAACTTTGCAATTTCGAGTAGCGAATTACGCAGCACTCTTAGCAAAATATGACCACAAAAATTATGCTAAAGTAATGCACTTTATTGATAATGTGTTGGAAGACAAATGACAACAATTCAAAGTGGTTGTGTCCAAGGGCCAATTGATCTCCCGCACAGCTCTTCAGGCCACCCTCGATGCTGCGGATGCAGTCGCCAGATCCACAGCCATCATGATGCTGTGTGCCTCATGGTTTACTTCTTCATCCT